GGCCCATTTCTATCCGACTCGATATCGGTTTTGGCTGGCCCGATTCGGTTCGATGCCAATGTGCCGACGATCCGATGCGGATCGATGCCCGCATAGCGCCGATGCGCATCTTGGCGCAGCCGATCCGATTCGATTCCGAGTCCGTGCCGATGCAGCCCGATCCGACGGAGAGGGGGGCAGGCCGTGGACAGGCCGTGGGGTGTCGCTAAGCCGTCAGCAGGCCACCGGAACAGAGATGTACGAGTGCAGCGTCATGTGTGCTTCTGTAGGTACGCACCGGCACAGCTTATGTATGCTTATGTACACATGCGCACCTCTCCCGTCGCGGCGCGGCAGCGTCGGGTCGCTCGCCCGTCGAGCACCCCGGGCTGCGGCGTTGAGGAGTTGCCCGCATGCAGAGGGGGGAAGGAAAAGGAAGAGAGAGGCGGCCGCAGAGGAAGACAGGGGGGGAGGGGCGCGCTCACGCGGCGGCGCCGCGAGGGGGCGCGCGGGGTGGCCAGGCTGCGGGGCAGCCCCTGGCAGCGGCGCGGGGCGGCGCCACGGGCGCACGCCAGAGGAGGGGCCAGCCGCCGCACCTGCGGGCAGGGCCCAGCGGGGGGGGTGATGGGAGCGGCTGGCGGTAACCGCGGGCTGGGGGGGCGCTCGCACGAAGGGGGCCCGAGAGGGGGCGGCAGCTGGGGCTGGCGGCGGCGAGCTGGCCAGGACAGCAGGGTGCCGCGGCCGCGGAGGCAGCCGCGGAGGGGCGGGCCGACGCGGCCGGGCGCGGCGGGCGCCGAAGCGGCGAAGCGCCAAGAGGCAGCCGGGCGGTGCGTGCCCAGCAGGCACAGGGCGGAGAGGCAGGGGGGGGGGGGGGGGAAGCAGAGAAGCCTGCCCACGGCCGGCGCGCGCATCACAGCCAAAGGGCAGGGCAGCGCCCAGTGCTAGTGGAGACTGGGCGTGGGGCTCCCGACGAGCGGGGAGGCAAAACCGGGGGGGCAGCCGTAACGGCGGTGCCCCCCAAGCACGGCAGCGCAAGTTGCCGGCAAGGGCGGCGGCCAGCCTGCGGAGCCGAGGGACGGGTGGGCAGCGACCGCACCACACCGCCCGGCGAGGCCCGGGGCGGCGACCGGCAGCGGGCGGCAAGGGCACGGCGCCGGGAGGGCGGCCGCGCCATCGCAGGGGGGGAGTGGCCTGCAGCCAGTGCCAGCACGGCCTGCGGGCAGGGAGGCCCGAGACGCGCGAGGCGCAACACCTGGGTGGGCTGCTGCGCCAGCGCGGAGGGGAGCGCACCTCCAGCTGGGAGGTACGCGGGGGTGTGGGGCAGGCCAGCGACGGCCAGGTGCACCAACTGGGGTGGATGGCGCGCCTGAAGAAGGGGGCCAACGCACCACCTGGGGTCGGAGGCGCGTTGGGGGGACGCACCTGACTTGTGCACAGGCTGTGGGGTTTCGGTAAGCCGTCAGCAGACCATTGGAACAGAGATTTGAGAATACAGCGTCATGTCTGTTAATGAACAAGTATACGCACTTACACACACATCTAGTTATTCCCAGTGTGCCCAGAACGACCCGCGAAGTCCAGATGGCTGAGGCGATAATCTTGCGATATATGGATGGAGATAGGAGGAGAGCGTGGAGGAGGAGGGAGGCAAGCAGGTGAAGGGAGGGAATGAGGTAGAGGGGATACGTTGAGGAGGTGGAGGTGTTTCGCCAGCCTCTGGTACCATCTGCGGTGCCCGTCGCATCGTGGGCAGTTTAGTTTAAGTAGCCCCAGGAGGAGAAGGAGGAAAAGGAGGCGGAGGAGGGAGGACGTATCATGTAGGAAGGACGAGGGATTGGGAGAGAGTGAGGGGGATACGGAGAGGAGACGAGAGGATAAGGGAAGGAAGGAAGGAAGAGGAGGAGGCGGAGGGAGGAAAAAGTGATCCTCCCCGCCTTCTGCCTCATCGGTGATGGTCGTCGGATGCAGCGTCGTGGGCACTTGGGCACATTATTCTCCATTTGACGAAGCGTGTTCCACGCATGTTTCGGTTGATGCTCGATCCGAAACAACACCAACAAATAAGAGCCAGATGTGAAAGCCTGCTTGCGCGACACTTCCGCGCAGTTGGCACATCGAATGAGAGACGATCCTGCAGGCAGGTGCTTGCACTCAGGGTATGGATCACCTGATGACCATGGACTAGCTCTGGGGAGCTCCCCGAAGTTCAGATACACAAGAAGCTTACGCCATTCCGCCGACCCCCGGACGAAGTGAGGAGTCCCGGGGAGCATTGCGAGTGCGAGGCTTGGTCGCGAGCGCTGTGCAGGGCGACGTGGGCTTCAGGTGGCGCAGGCGGCGCGGGCGCCTCGCGCGGTCGGGCAGCTCGGCCGAGGCGCCGCCCGGTGCCCGCCCGCGGCTGCCTCGCAGGCGCGCCGCAGGCCGCGCGGGCGTGCCGAGGTTTCGCCTGGCAGGGCCGCGTCGTTGGCCGCCTCGCGTTGAAGCGCCTCGCGCGCCGCGCGGGCGTGCCGAGGCTTCGCCGCGCGTGCCCTCCCGTGCCCCCCCCGCGGGCCCTCGTGCGCGGCCTGCGGCCACGTGCTCGTGCGGCAGGGGATCGCCTGTGCTGGGGGGAGCGGGTGGTGCCCAGAGCCCCGCGCGCTGTGAGAAAACATTGCGGCGGGAGGCGTTTCGCAGTCTGCAGCCTCCAGGGGCTTTCACCGGGCCTCGGGACCGTCAACAGAACGACTCGGGATGAAAAGCCTGTCCAGGGGCAAGCGCTGCGCGGAGGGGGTGCCTCAGCGGCGCGGCGGCGAGGAAAGCGCGCAGGAGTGGGTGTGCACGGAGGGCACGGGGAGGTCGGCGCAAGATGCGGAAGTTGGGACCGCCGTGAGCGTGGCAAGAGCATATGCAGCCTCGAAGCGGGAGCTGCAATGCGCCTCTTGCGGCGAAATAGGCGCGTGGCAGGAGCATGTCATCCGAGCCCAAAGAAAGGATCATCTCTGCAAAGGGCAGGGGGTGGTGTGCAAGGACTGTTCGGACAGAGGGTTCACGGCGAGGTCGTGAGAGGCGTTTGGATGTTCGGGCCGACGTAACAAGATGTTACCGAGGGGCAGCGGGAGGATTACATGACGGGACGGCTTGTAATGTTGTACGGGTTTTGCTTGAGCCCCCTTTTGTGCAGCTGGGGGTTTGTTCGGGGATTTTCGGGTGCCTTTGAGGGGTCTAATCTGGGGTTTTGCAGAAGCCTTCCGGAGCTTCTGAGGCCTGCTGGCGGCCTGGGTGGCGGCCTCGAGGAGCTTTGTCCTTTGGGAGCTTTCTGGGGGGGGGCCTTTTGAGGCCAATGGGGGGTCTCGGGGTTTATTTCTTTTGGGGGAGAGGGTTCCGAGGGCCTTTGCGGGCTCCCCCTCTTGGGCCTTTCTTGGGCCTCTCTTGGAGCCACATTCACGGGTTGTTGCTGCCGTCTTGGGGGCGCCTGTGGCCGTATTGGAGCCCTCTGTGGCCGTCTCCGGGCCGTTTCGAGAGTCTCTGGGCCGGCTTGGGCCAGTCTGGGGGGCCTCTTGGGCCGTCTTGAGCGTACAGACGCCGCTAGCCGAGACGAATTGAAATCTTGAAATCAACGTGTTTTGCCTCTTGAGGCCCTCTGGGGAGTCTTCTTGCGGTTTTGTTTCGGCGCCTGGGGCCGTCTTGACTATCTTGGGTGTTTTTGAAGCTTCTCTAGCGTATTGGAGCTCATATGGAGCCATCATGGGCATTATCTTGGCATCTTGGCGGCCACGCAGGGTGGTTTGTGAGTTCTCGAGGTCCCCAGGGGAGCGTCGATGAGCCCGGTCCCGCCCCCAAACCCGCCTCCTGCCATCTCCCTCAGATTCGATTTTTTAATGCAATAAAACGGGGAAGGGGTAGGGGGGGTCGGCGGACTAACGACAGGTGCATGCTCCAGAAAGGGCATCGCGTTCGGCGCACACTCGCCCTCGACACCGGCCCCACTAGCGGTGCGCCCTTTTCTTGGACCCGAGGCTCCCGAGAGGCGGGCCACGTGTGCGCCTCGTGTGCGGCATGAGTACCGTTCTGGGTTCAGGATGGGATCTGGTTGATGGGCCTGTTTTCCACCACCACCACCATAAGTTGGAGGGGGAGGGGGTCCTCCTCCTCCACCTCCTCCTCCTCTTCCTCCTCCTCCTCGTCCTCCTCCTCGTCCTCCTCCTTCCCACCTCCAAGTTATGGTGGTGGTTGTGGAAAACAGGCCCATCACTGGTGTTCGGGCCGTTCATCCGATCTAGACGGGGGAACTATTCGTGGCCGCGTCTCGCCGTGGCCAGGAAAGCCCAGCCGCTCCTTGTGCGGCGCTCCTTCCTGGCAGCACGGCGGCTGCAGCCATCTTGGCACAGGCTTGCTCGTTCCTGGCGCTCCGCGGGGGCTCCTGGAGAGAGTTCATAGCTGAGGATCGAGGCAGGCTGGACAGCTGGCAGGCTTCGAGGGAGAAAAAACAGCATCAACATACCTATTCGGAGGTCCGTGCGGATTCCTTGGATCTGCGCTGGGCCCACTTCGGCGCGCTCCGCGCGCTAGGGAGCGGGGTCCAGCGCCGATCCGAGAAATTGCGCGGACCCCCGAGAGCTTACGGTCAGGAACTGTGGCATAGCGTGCCGCTTCGTTGGTTTGGGCCCACCACGCTCCGCCGCGACACGCTGACCACCTCCCCAAGGGCGCCCTCGAGGGCGCGAAGTTTTTGGCGCTTCGCGGTTCGGCTCCGATTCCTCCTCATCCTCCTCTTCTCCCTTGGGAGGCGGCGCGAGATCGCGAAGTTATTCGCACTGCGCGCTTCGCGCAGCGCGAAGCGCGAAGTTGGGAGCCCTTGCTCTCCGTCTCCGGGCGTCAGCGTCCCGAGCCTTTCCAAACGTCGCCGCCGCGGAGCGGGGCGGCACGCCAGCCGCTGGCAGGGCACACAGCGCGTGTCGCTGGGTTTGCCGCCGCGGCTCTCGCGAAGCAAAAGCTCCCGACCAAAGGATCATGCCGTTTTCGAGTGTTCTGATCCTCCAAGGATGCTGAGCTCGCTGAGGTTGTGCCGGGGGACCGCGCGGGCCGCGCCGGGGTTGCGCCGCGGGTTCGCCGCACAGTCGGAGATCGTCGCGACGCTCCAGGGGAAGATCAAGGCCCTCGCGGAGAAGAAGGCGCCGATCTTCCAGAGGTTGAAGAAGGATCGCCACAGAAGAGGACGCAACATCTGCACAAGCGGTCTGGAGCCTGTGCCTAGCGCTTGGCGTGTCGTTCAGCCTTTCTTGGCCCACCACGCTTCGACGCGACACGCTAACCACTTTCCAATGCCTGAGCCGTTTCCAGCCTCCCGCCGCGCGGAGCGGAGCGACAGGCTATCAGTTCGCATGGCATAGCGTGTCGCCGTGGCCACCGCCGTGACACGCTGAGCAATTTCTCCTGACCGTGAATTCTTGGAGGTCCAGACGGACCACCAGAAGTGCGTGTTTGTGACAGCTTGTCTCCCTCTGAAGGAGCACGGCGACGATTCGCTCGGCGAGGTCACGGTGAACATGTGCATCGGCGGGGCTCGGGGCATCAAGTGCTTGGTGAGCGAGACCTCGCTGCTCGACCCCATGGAGGGCATCCGCTACCGCGGGCGGACGCTGGAGGAGTGCAACCAGCAGCTGCCGAAGGCCAGCGCCACCAGCAAGGTCGGCCTGCCCGAGGCCTCCTTCTGGCTGCTGCTCACCGATGAGATCCCGACGGATGCGGAGGTGAAGGCGCTGAACGAAGAGCTGCACAAGCGCGCCACGCTGCCCGAGAGCACCACCAAGCTGATCGACTCCCTCCCCAAGGACATGCACCCCATGACCCAGCTCTCCATGGGGTTGCTCTCGCTGCAGCCCACGAGCAGCTTCCAGAAGAACTACAGATCGGGGACCATGAAGAAGACCGACTACTGGGTCCACGTGCTGGACGACTCTCTGAGCCTCGTTGCCCAAATCTCGCCATTGGCCGCCCGCATCTTCCGGAACGTGTACTTCGACGGCAAGCACATTCCCGCCGACCCGAGCCTGGATTGGGCGGGCAATTACGCCCACATGCTTGGGGTCAACAACAGCGAGGCCTTCAAGGATATCACCCGCTTGTACCTCATGCTGCACGCCGACCATGAAGGTGGAAACGTGTCCGCCCACACCACCCACTTGGTTGGCAGCGCCCTGAGCGACCCCTACCTTTCCTACTCGGCTGGCGTGAACGGTCTCGCGGGGCCCTTGCACGGACTCGCGAATCAGGAATGCTTGCGGTGGCTCAAAAACACTCATGCCACGCTGGGGGGCAAGGAGCCGACGATCGATGAGCTCACAAAGTTCGCCAAGGACACGCTGGCGTCCGGCAAGGTGATCCCCGGATTCGGCCACGGCGTGCTCCGTAAAACGGACCCGCGTTACATGATCCAGCGCGACTTCGCTGAGGCGAACTTCCCTGACGATCCGCTGTTCAAGCTGGCGAACGCATGCTACAAGGCCATTCCTCCCGTGTTGGAGGCCACCGGCAAGGTCAAGAACCCATGGCCCAACGTCGATGCGCTTTCCGGAACGTGCATGCAGTATTACAATTTGGACCAGGAAGACTACTACACCGTGGTTTTCGCCGTTTCGCGGTCCCTGGGCTGCATGTCCAACATGGTTTGGTCGCGTCTGATGGGCCTACCCATCGAGAGGCCGAAGTCTGTGACCGTGGACTGGCTGGTGAACCACGTGGACTGGTCTGGTGAGCCATTTGGCTCCAAGTGAGAGGAAGGGTGAGCTGGGCGACCTGCGGCTGTGTGCTCTGAGCGTTGGGGATCGCGATACCGTATAGTGTCGGCGCGTCGGCGACCCCAGCAAGGGCGTTGAGGGTTCAACGCCGACAGAGGCCCATAATAGTTCGATATCGGAGGATCGTCGCTATCCGAACGTCGCGATCGTTTAAGATTTAGCGATCCACGCGGTGTCAGAAACTAGCGCCGACGATTTCACGACACAAACTTGCCGCACACATGACACCCAAAGCTTGCATTTCCTTTTGACCGCTCCGACCTCGCTGCCCTGAGCGAGGCTGAGCGTCGAGGGTACGCACGAGCACAAGGGCTCCTCAACCACGAAGGGCAACTTTTTATTGCCGTGCGCTGTCCTGTGTGCTGCCGCTAACACGTCCTGGCGCGCGTGCGCAGGCGGCAAGGTCTGAAGGCCCGACCGTGCAACAGTGCCGGGGCTTGTCCAGCGGTTGTGGCGCGAGGACCAAGAAAGCATGCCTGAAAATTGTCAGCCTCCCAACCGATAGGGCCATGCCAGACCTGGCCAGAGGGTTGAGGAGCACGAGGGCCACGACGACGCGGATGAGGACAAGGAGGCGGAAGAAAAAGTATCGGCCTGCGGCAATTTCTGCACCCAAGACTTTTGCGAGACCCTCATCGTCGGGCACTCCCGGCCAGCTCAGGCCGGCAGAATGGGGGGGAGCAGGGGCGGGGGAAGAGGTTTGTCCCAAAGACCAGCCTCCAAAGGTTGCGGCAGGGCCAGATGCTTCGCAAAGACCCCGCTGGAGACGGCCGGGCATGCGGGAGGAATGCATCCCTCCTCCTTTCTCCCGTACGGCAGGTGCGCGTCGTGCCGACCAGTGGCGACCCCAGCGCGTGCGTGTAAGGTTGAACGCCGCCCGTGGCCCAGAGTCGGCTCGTCTTTGAACGATCGGCCGTTCCAAGTTTGAACGATCCCCGCGGTGTCCGAAACCAACGCTCGGAGGTTGATAGACCTCCTACCCTGACACGTCGGTTAACGGATTGGCCGTTTTCGGTTCGCGACAGGGCGTCGCGGCCGTCATTTTGCGGGTCCAGGTCCGTCGGTTTTTGTCCTAGGCCACTTTCACTAAACAGGGTGATTGACTAGAGGGAGGCTAGTCCGCAGGGGTCGACACGACGCGAACTTGCCGTACAGCTATCGCGAACGATCCCCGCGGTGTCAGGAACCAACGCCGGGCTCGACACGACACGAACCTGTCGTAGGTGACGATCTTGGCCGTCTTGGAGGCCCCACCCTGGCCGTCTTGGGGCCAGCTGCGGGGCCACCTCTGGGCGCTTGGGAGGCCTCCTGGGCCCTCTTGGGGCCCCCTGGGGGCTGTCGTGGAGGCCTCTGGGGCCGTCCTAGACAGGGGGCCAGATGCGAACCCTACCCCTACCTCCCACGATTTCTGAGGGGGAGGGTGGGGTTCACTTCGTTCGGGAGCTCCCGAGCAAAGTGAACCCCACCCTCCCCCTCAGAAATCGTGGGAGGTAGAGGTAGGGTTCGCATCTGGCCCCCGACTGGAGCCATCTTGGAGGCCTCTTGGGAGCCGTGCAGCCATCGAGACGCTGAGGCGGGCAACGCGTTGAGCTCTCGGGCCTTCCCTCCGACCTCGGGCGTAGGCACCCGCTCGTGGCCGAGAGGCCCGCCGTTGGCCGAGGAGCCCCGTGCGGTCCTGGCTCGGGGGACCCTCGGGATCAGCGCGAGGACTGCAGCTCCTCCTCCTTGTGCTTTTCCTCCCCCCTCCTCCTCCTCCTCCTCCTCCTCCTCCTCCTTCTCCTCCTCCTCCTCTCCCCACGTCCTCCTCCTCGTCCTCCTCCTCCTCCTCCTCCTCATCCTCCTCCTCCTCCTCCTCTTCCTCCTCCTCCTCCGCCGCCTCCTCTTCTCCTCCTCCTCCTCCTCCTCCTCCTCCTCCTCCTCCTCCTCCCCTCCTTCCTCCTCCTCCTCCGCCTCCTGCCTCCTCCTCCTCCTCCTCCTCCTCCTCCTCCTCCTCCCCCCCCTCCTCCTCCTCCTCGTCCTCCTCCTCCTCCTCTCCTCCTCCTCCTCCTCCTCCTCCTCCTCCTCCTCCTCTTCCTCCTTCTTCTTTCTCACCCCTTCTCCTTCTTCTCCCCCTCTCATTATTCTCCTCCCCCTCCTCCTCCCCTCCGCTCCTTCTCCTCCCCCTCCTCCTCCTCCTCCTCCTCCTCCTCCTTCTCCTTCTCTCCTCTTGCTCCTCCTTGTTCGGCGAACCTCAGATCGGTGCGATGACTGCGTCGTCACGTGGCGGCGCGCCCACGAGGGAAGGCAGGGAGGGAGGGGGGGCTCTAGCGAGGGGCGGGCGTCCCGAGCAGCGTCCTGAGCCTGCTGCGAAGCCACCGAGGGCTTCCCAGACGACCGGAGGGGCTTCTGAGAAGGCCCGCCGCCTTCGAGAATCGGGTGGGGGGCAAGGGGGGTGACCCACATGGGGGGCGCAGAAAAGGGCCCTACAGTGGCCCTTCAGAGCCCCTCTTTGACCCGTGGCTCGTTTCTGCACCCCCCATTTGGGTCACCCCCCGTTGCCACCCGTCCGGCCGCCGCCTTCCGAGAAGGCTTGCCCCAATCCGCTCGGCGTCGTCTGCATCTTCCCTTCGCGCGCCGCGGTGATGCGCCGTGTGGCCTCTGCGCTGGCCGCGTCGGCGGCGGGGCAGAGATTCGTTCTGTCATAGACGCCCCGCGAGACTTTTGGCAATGTCACATCTCGTCGCGAGAGTGGGCCGGGAACGAGGAGAGCACGTCACGGCATCGCGCAGCTGCAGCTGCGCACCGTCCTCGTCGTCCTCCTCCTCTCTCTCTCTCTCTCTCTCCTGCCCCGCGCCCTCCTCGTGCGCCTCTCGAGGTGGAAGCCTTCATCGAGGACAACGGTCTGGAGGACGAGAAGGCCGTGGCTGCAGTCTTTGGCGCCGCCCGCACGGGAGGCTCAGGGAGGAAGCACGGTTGTCCAGAAGGCATGGTGAGCATTCTTCCGCCTCCCGTCTCCTGCCTCCTCCTCCTCGGCCTTCGGGCATTGGAAGGTGTTGGCCGAGGAAGCCTGTGAGCACGTAGGCACTCTCACTGTGCGCAAGCCTGTGAGCACGTATGCACTATTCACTGCTGTCACTCGCACGTCAGTCCTTGAATCTCTTGGACTGCATGTTACGATTTTACCTCTGGTGACGAGCTTCTGCAGAAGTCTCAGAAAACGTTTGTTGGCTCACGGCCTTCTGAGGCACGCCCAACGAATTCAATAATACATGCTTCGGCACTGCAGAATAGCGTAGCGCCACATTGGCCGTTAGTTCGAATGGGTCGCTGGTTGGTTTACGCGAATTATTTGTCAGCTGGTGTGCCAGACGGGAGTATCCCAGCCCACGGAAAAGCAGCCGCCACGCTCGCGTATGTTTCGGACCTTGCCTGGCGAGCTCACCATGAGACCCCAGGATGCGAAACTGTGATGTGCCGTGCCTGCATTTTTATTAACAAAAAAAAACAAAGACCCGACGCCGTGATGTTTTCATCACGGCCCCCCTGGAAGCCTCGACCTCTTCCCCAGGACCGGCTTTTCATCCTGAGTCGTTTCGTGGACGCTCCCGAGGCCCGGCAGGGGCCCCCAGAGGCCGAACGCTGCGAAAAACCTCCGTCGCGATTTCTTCTCGATGCGCTGGATCTCTCGGAACCAAACAGCTCCGGATGTGCCACGCCGCGCCGCGCCCGCGCGCCGAGAGACGCGACGCGCCTGCGGCCCGGCGTGCGGCGGCGCCGCGCCGTGCCGCGCCGCGGCCGGTGCTCGGGGACGCGGCAGGCGTGCTGCGGCGTGGCTGCGCGAGGTGCACCTCAGGGGCCCGTTTGCCACCACCACCGCCATAGGTTGGAGGGGGGAAGGAGGAGGAGGGAGGAGGGGAGGAGGAGGAGGAGGAGGAGAGGAGGGAGGAGGAGGAGGAGGAGGAGGAGGAGGAGGAGGAGGAGGAGGAGGAGGAGGAGGAGGGGGAGGAGGAGGGGGAGGAGGAGAGGGAGGGGGGAGGAGGAGGGGGAGGAGGAGGAGGAGGGGGAGAAGGAGGGGGAGGAGGAGGAGGAGGAGGAGGAGGAGGAGGAGGAGGAGGAGGAGGAGGAGATGGAGGATGCGGCAGGTGTGCTGTGCCGTGACTGCGCGAGGGGCATAGCAGGGGCCCGTTTTCCACCACCACCGCCATAGGCTGGAGGGGGGAAGGAGGTGGAGGATGATCAAGGGAGGAAAAACCACCCGGACCGGACAATTGGCGTTTAAGGGACGGCCTTGGGCGTTTTTTGAACAGCCTTGCCCTGTTCGATTCGTTCCCTTTGGGCGCGTTTGCTAAATGACTTCGCGTGTCGGGGTGGTTATTATGGGGGGGGATGTTTTCACTTCTAGATGAGGAGGAGGACGAAGAGGCGGAGGAGGAGGAGGAGGAGGAGGAGGAGGAGGAGGACCCCTTCACCCTCCTGCTTGTGGTGGTGGTGGTGGAAAGCAGGCCCACCAGCATGGCCGAGCCGTCCTGCGCCCGTGCTCGACGAGTGCGAGACACGTGTCCTGTGCTGTGCCTCGTCCAGGGTCCGAGAAGGAGCGCAAGGTGCTGTGATGTGCCGCGCAGTGTCGGGCTCGAGGCTTAGACTTAAGTCGGGCGTGTCCCTCTACAGGAGGGATGCACAAAAGTAGTAAGAAAATAGTCAGGGGACGATTATTTGATTTTTTGTTGGTGTATTGTTCAATTGTTTGTTTTTTCGCCCCAAATTCCCCTGTATGGGGGACACGCACGATTCAAGATTAGACTGCGAGGCACTGCCGCCCTGTGCCGTGCCGGCCATGTGCCTTAGCATGCAGCGCTTGCGTATTAGGATATGAATGCCCACGTACTTTACATGTATGTCGTTGCCTCTTCTTCCAGACAAAGGGAGGAGAACTAGGAGGGCAAGCTACATGATGCGGAGTTACTGTTTATGTGTACGTCGTTGCCTCTTCTTCTAGACAAAGGGGAGAAGGAGTAGGAGGGCAAGTTACATGCTGCGGAGTCGCTGCGGCAAATAGCAGCTCGTTCCAGACCCCATCTCTGGTCCAGGTGCGCGTTGTCATTGCAAAGCCCGCCAGCTTTCCATTCAGTGCTTCGGCGGGAGCGGACGTGTCCCAGGAAGTTGGATGCACAGGACGTGGCTAGCCTGGGCAAGAGCTAGACTTGCATGTGGCCAGATGGTCTTCCAGCGCTCGGCCCCTCTGGGAGCGTGCAGCAGAAATCCAAATGTGTACCCAGCGCGCAGCCTCCAAGTGCTCCAGATGTGTATCCAGCCATGCGTGTGTGTGTGTGTATGTGTGTGCTTGTGCGTGCGTGTTTGTGCGTGTGTGTGTGTGTGTGTGTGTGTGTGCTTGTGTGTGTGTGTGTGTGCGTGCGTGCGTGTGTGTGTGTGTGTGTGTGTGCGTGTGCGTGTGCGTGTGCGTGTGCGTGTGCGTGTGCGTGTGCGTGTGTCTGTGTGTGTGCGTGTGCTGCCCCTGGCCCAAGGTGTCCCCCAGGATGTTCTAGAGAGGCCCCAGGGCCTCCGGGGCACCCCTGACGAAGCCCAGACGGCCAGAGGAGATCCAGAATGGCGCGGCAAGCTGAGATGCCTTGGGCCAGGACCACCTCTGGCAACAACGGAAAGAGGGCCACGAGGCATGACAGCTCCCTGTAAGGAGCCCTTCTATCTTTGAGTTCAAAACATGCGGGCCACCAGAGCGCTGGCTGCTCAGGCGATGCAAGATGAGCAGGGCCATCCGCAACGACAGGCGCAGTCGACCACGTTTGACAGCAGCCAGTGTTTACCAGTGAGGGTCGCAGTCCGTCCTGTTCCAGGTGGTCCTGGTCCAAGGCAGCTCCAGCTTTTCGCGCCGTTTTGGACCGGCTCTGGCCCTCTGGGCCTACTGTAGGAGCTCGATGACAAGAAACCTTCCACAAGAAACCCAACCCTGAGACCTCAGGACGTCCACTGATTTTTGGTGTGGGAACGCCACGCTCCCCACTGCAAAACTATCGAAGCCCGAGAAGCCCAGGGGACCCTGGAGGGAAGCAGGGTGTTTTTTTGGCGTGGGTTTCCACTGCAATGAGGGGTGTTTGTGGAGAGGCCGATGGCGGCTTCCCTTGATGATCCTGGGTGGATCCGTGGGCCAGGGACACCCGTGGCAGCACCCTGGATGAGAGCCACGTCCTGCATGTGTTTCAGCGAGGCCTTGGCATCGTTCGGACGTGGGCATTTTCTCTCGGCGATGACCCTCGAGAAGCCTTCTCGGGCCACGGGCATGGAAATGGACGTCCGAGCGATTGCGAGGTTTCAGGGAAGCGCGAACATGGATGAGCGCTCGTGGATCAGCAAAGGCCCCCGTTTCCGTAAAGAATCGGGGAATTCTGACACCAAAACAGGCGGCATTGGCCTAATGTGAGGCGTGTAAAAAGATTGCCGTGCCATCTCTTTCTGGGCGGAAGGCGGCGGAGTGTCGGCAGGAAGTAAAACGAGGCCGCTTCCGCCGGCGGAAGCCAGCGGAAGCTCGGCGGAAGGCGGCGGCAGTAAAAGTCGACCTCCCAAGAGATGGCAACACGTTTGGGTTCAGGGCTTCTGGAATCGGCCACGTGTTTCAGGGAAGCGCGAACACGGATGAAGGGCCTCTTGCCGTAAAGAATCAGGGAAATCTGCCGCCGAGCCAGGCGGTTCTGGCCTCATGTGGATCCGTGGATTTTGGTGCCCACAATGCGTAGAGTGGAAACCCATGCCAAGAAACACCCTGCTTGCCTCCAGGGTGCCCTGGGTTTCGATGGTCTGGCTGGGGAAAGCGTGGCGCTCCCACACCAAAAACCGATGGACCCGTCCTGAGGCCTCAGGGTTGGGTTTCCTGTGGAAGATTCTTGTAGTCGAGCTCCTACGGTAGCACAGCATGGGTTCCAGCGAGAGGCGGAGCGGGCATACACACTATCCCCGTCCACGGATCCGTACGGTCGGTTCGCGTCGTGTCGACCCGCGGCGACCTCACCGCGGGTGCTCAACGTTGAACGTCGCCGGCGACCCAGAGTCGGGCGATGCTGAACGATCGCTCCAGGACGAACGATCGCCGGGCGATGTTGAACGTCGCCGGCGACCCAGAGTCAAGAACGGCCGATCGTTCCAGGTCGAGCGATCCCCGCGGTGGCAGAAACCAGACCGAAGCCGGCACGACGCGAGCCTGCCGTGCAGGCAGGGGAGCGGGGGGGGAGGAGGGTGTGCGGGCGTGTTCCTTGGCAGCTTGGCAAAGCAGGGGCGCCCTCGAGGGCGCGAAGTTATTCGCGCTTCGCGGTTCGGCTCCGATCCCTCGTCCTCCTCCTCTCCCCTGGGAGGCGGCGCGAGAGCGCGAAGTTATTCGCACTCCGCGCTTCGCGCAGCGCGAAGCGCGAAGCTGGGAGCCCTTGCAAAGGGGCGGGGGTCGAATCGCAGAGGCAGATCGTGGCGGAACGCCGCTCGAAAGGGCTTCGGCCGCTCTTCCGGACTCCGTGGACCTGCCTGGAAGAGAGGGGTTCCGTTCCTGCCGTGCCGTTCCTCCGGCCAGGCGAGATCCTGCAGTCCATGCCTCAGGAGGGAAAAAAACACACAGACACAATTAATCGTCGACTCCTCCGAAAATATAAGAAACCATGGGAAGTGGGGGGGACGACGAAAACCCAGAAAATATATGAAAATCTTGGGAATCCTTCTATTTGTGTCTATTCATTTGTGTGTCCCAGGGCCCCTTCAATGCCAGCGTTCGCCCGACGGTGGTTGCGGTTCCTCGGCCTCGCACTCCGCCCCCCGGCTCCGCCCCGCCCTGCCAGGCCGCCAAGGCGCTGCGGGAGGTGGCGCCGGCCATCCAGCGCCGCGCCCGGGTAAAGCCAGCAGGGCGGGGGGGGCCATGCGGTCAAGAAGCTCCTCCTCCTCCTGCTCCTCCTCCTCCTCCTCCTCCTGCTTTTCCTCCTCCTCCTCCTCCTCCTCCTCCTGCGTTTCCTCCTCCTCTTCCTCCTCCTCCTGCTCCCCCCGCTCCTTCTCCTCCTCTCCTCCTCCTGCTCCTGCTCCTCTTCCTCCTCCTCCTCCTTCGCCTCCTCCTCCTCTGCCTACTCCTCCTTCTCCTCCTGCTTTTCCTCCTCCTCCTCTCTCCTCCTCCTCCTCCTCCCTCCCCTCCTCCTGTTCCTTCTCCTCCTCTTCTTTCTCTTTTCCTCCCCTCCTCCTTCTCCACCTCCTCCTCCACCTGCTCCTCCTCCTTCTCCGTCTCCCGAACATTGCCCATCCTCCTCCTCCTCCTCCTCCTCCTCCTCCTCCTCCTCCTCCTCCTCCCCACCATTCATTGACCTCCTGCCTCAGGTTTTCAAGCCCCCTCCTGCGCAATCGCTTGCAAGTGGGCGTCAACGCGAACCGACGATCGGCGGAGAGTTTGGGCTGGGGGAGGAATATGGGCTGCAGCAGGAAGAGGACGAAGATAGACGACGAAACAACTGCATAAACTTAAACAGAAACATACACTGAAACAAAAAATGGACCCTGGGTCGGCGCCGGAGGCGACGCCGGGGGGGCTCAGCGCGGATCCAAGAAATCTGCGCGGAGCGCCAAAAGTTTATGTTTATGGCGTTTTCCTCTTCTTCTAAGTGAGGAGGAAGAGGACGAGGGACGTCGACCACCGATGAAGTGCGTGCGTGCATGACTCAGGAGGGGGAAAAACACACAGACACAATTAATCGTTCACCCCCAGGAAAATATGGGAACATATTGGAAGTGGGGGGAAGACAAAAGCGAATAACATTTGGGAAATATCGGGATTTGTTTTACTTGTGTGTATTTATTTGTGTGTCCTGGGGCCCCTTCACTGGCGCCCTCCTGCGTTCTTACTTTCGGAGTTCTTGTCTGGAGGGAGGGAAGCACACAGACACAATTCATCGTCGATTCCCAGGAGAATATGTGAGCATGTGGGAAGAGGGGGGGAAGACAAACCTCCAGACGAGACTGGAAACAGATGGGGCATCTTCGGATTTCTGTGTACTTGTTTTGTGTGTCCCTGGGCCCCTTCAGCTCTTTACGGCAGCACGATGGTCGTACCAGTGATGAGGATGCATGTCAAGTGGCCGGCCTGGACGAGAGTTTGGTACTCTGGGTTTCTTAGTAGGCGTGGGGGGATACCCCGCCCCCGACGGGGGTCAACCTCGCCTTGTCGTCGCGCCGCGACGGGGGTCGGAGCGCCTTCGGCGCGCGGTGGCTGCCCGCGACGGGGGTCGATGTGAGGCTGTCGGCGGGCGTGTCGACCCCCCGACGCGTCCTCAGCAACTCGGAGCACGCGTGGGCGTCGCATGGCTGGATGACACGCGGCCGGCCTGGGCGAGAGCTGTGTGCCACGCGGGGCGGCGGAGAGACTTCGCGGGGCGATGTCCTCCTCCTCCTCCTCGTCCTCCTCGTCCCTCCTCCTCGTCCCCCCTCCTCCTCCTCCTCCTCCTCCTTTTCCTCCTCCTCCTTTTCCTCCTCCTCCTCCTCCTCCTCATGCCGTGGACGGCGCCCGAGACGGGGTCGCGCCGACCTCCCGGCCAGCCCCGGGGCCCCCATGGGGGTCGCCGGAGGGCCCTCGCGTCGCCCGCCTCCGCCCCTCTGCGAGCAGTTCGCAGCGTCGGGCGTCGGGCCGCCGCGCTGCGGCTCGAATGCTCAGTATTCACAGGAGGGAAAGGAACACACAGACATAATTAATCGTCGACTCTGAGGAAAACATGGGAAAATATGGGAAGTGGTGGGGAAGACGAAAACCTAGAAAATATGGGGAAATATGGGGGATCCTGTTATTTGTGTCTATTTCTTTGTGTGTCCCAGGGCCCCTTCATATTCACCGAGCATCGTCATCGCCATCGTCATCATCATCATCATCATCATCATCATCATCATCATCATCAGCATCATCATCATCATCATCATCAGCATCATCATCATCAGCATCATCATCATCATCATCAGCATCATCACTATTATTATCATCATCACCACCACCAGCAGCATCATCATCACCATCATCATCATCATCACAGGGCCCCCGAGGGGTCACCGAACACCCCAACAGAAAGAATTTCGAGCACCAAGACGGTACCGAAACTGGAGGGCTTTCACGCTTGACACTGTTTCGATTATTGTCTGGGTGCTCGGACATATTTTTGGGATGTGGTCCTGTACGACGGGAGCAACATCGGTCTAATGCCGAAGGCTGGCGGGCTCCTGGAAGAACCATGCTGCCTCCCAGTACGTATCCGAGTTCCCCTTCACAGCACATTGCCTTTCAGAAAGACGGGGAGCACGGGGATACACCCCCAAGAACAAGTCGGCCTCGTTCCTATCGAGGGTGCACGCCTCCCATCGTATGTCCCCCAGGTGAGGCCCAAATTATATGTCCTGTCAGGAGCCCCACCAAGTCAGGGATTGGGGTCGCCAAGCCTTTTGTTATTTGGGTACTGCCCCGACGGAGGACCGCCCCGCGAAGGGACCACCCGCGCTTGCCCTGTCGCGGCACGCTGTCCAGCAGGGCGTGCTCCCTGGGCAGCATTCCCAGAAAGTCGGGCGACGCACGGCGCGGCAGGTTTCAGCGGCACCGGGAGATTTGCTGAACGTTGCCGTTCTAGGGCCTGTTTCCAGCATTGCAGCGTTGCCCACATCGGGGAGGGTTGGGTTCGCCGGGTCTTAGGCCAGAGTACCCGTTAGAGGGGCGCTGAAGGCCTGGGAGAGAGCTGGACAGCGTGCGTGGACGCCCGACTTTCCCGCGTTCGGCCCTTACTAATGTGGCCGGGCACGCCTGCCCTCCGCACACGAGTCCAGCCATGTGTGTGTGTGCGTTTGTGTGTCTGTGTCTGTGTCTGTGTCTGTGTCTGTGTCTGTGTCTGTGTCTGTGTCTGTGTCTGTGTGTATGTTTGTGTGTGTGCGTGTGTGCGTGTGTGTTGCCAGCTTCCTCGTGGAGCCGGCAGGTGCCCGAGCGCCTGGGCCACCCGGGGAGGCCATGCTGCACCGCGAGCGTCTGCGGTGGCCAAGGGTGACAGTGTCGGCCGATGGGCATCCATGACATATGCATAGCCGTATGTACACATCGCAGATGGGTACACGCACGTACAATGTGCATATACATTTGCCTACAATCTGCATATGCGGATATGTAGGGTTTGTTTCCGTATGTATGCGTATGTATGTGTATCATTCGTATTCCACGGGAGGTGCTCGCGAGGCCCCGATATGTGACTGGTTGTGGTGGGTTCTCGTGGTTCTCCTCATCTCCCTCCATTTCTCCCTTCTCTTCTCCCTCCTCCGCATCCTTCCTCCTCATTCCTCCTCCGTCCTCCTCCTTCCTCCTCCTCTTTGACGTTAATCAAGCATGAAGAACGGTGCTTGTTGCGCCCTGGATGGCGTGTGAAAAGAAGGCACGATAGCTGATGTAGGCCTCCCGGCGACGAATTACGCTTGGCGGGCGCAGCAGAAATCGGATGGGCACAGAGGTAGATAAAAATGCCAATGGGCCCACAAGGGCACAGAGTATGCGGCTGCCAGGCGGTGGGATATAGACAGGGGACGACCACTGAATAACAACCACATCTGAACCTGATACAGAGAGGGGAGAGTGGACGAACTACGCGTGCAAGTAAGAACTTAACAGCAGTAAGGGGCCTGCCTGCACGAGGCTGAGCAGGTGTTGCCTCGTGAACTGAATATCCACCAAGGTTGCTAGGCAGCCCGAGTAGTGGTCAGGCAACCCCGCCAGCCCCCGCCAACCCCGATAACCTCCTCGATCCACCACAGTAAATGTCAGGCTTGCAGTAACAGGGTGCGATGCGTCGCAAGGTGAAATAAGAAAACAGAGCAAGCTACGACAGTACAGAGAGAGTGGCATGGCAGGAGGAGGGCTGGCGCTGTATTCAGGCTAGCCTATTTCAGAGGGGTGTAGAACACACACACAGACAAACCATCGTCAATCCCGAGGACATGTTGGAACATATGGGAAGTGGGGGGAAGACGAACATCCAACCAGTATTGAAACATATGGGGAATCCTGGTATTGATGTGTATTTCTTTGTGTTTTTCTGGGCACCTTTAAATTGGGCTGGCCTATTGTGGAAAGGGGCATGCTGCCCATGGTGTGAGAGCGAGCGTCTGGCAATCAGCGGTCTACTGTAGGGCTGACGCCCCTCCGCTGAGGCCAACATGGCCGTAGTTGTCAGTCGTGCTCCTTCCCCTCCCAGAAGACCAGGACTCATTTCGATTCCTCCGATTCGATTCGATTAGATTTCGATGGCTTCCGATTCCGATTCGATTCGACGTCGGATGCCCATTTGGATTCCGATGTCTCACTGGAGGCCTACTAGCCTGCCGATGTCTGCCGATTCGACTCCTCCCGACTCTGCTGCCGATTTCTGCCGATCCGACTCATTTCGATCGCCGTTCCGATTTATCGACTCGTGTCTGGGCGCTTTTGCACCGACCCACCCATCCCAGAACATCCGGAGATTCAGCATCGCGTGCCAGCGCGGGCGGAGGTAGTCTAGTAGTGAACGACGCTGCGAGGCTGACCAGGTTGAATTCGGCTGGCCTGTGTCGGTGTATGTGTTGCTGCTGGTCCTGCGGCTGGCTCATGCAGTGCTGGCTGGCCAAGTTATCTAGAACAGGTGGTAAACCCTGGTGCCGCGGCTGAAATGATGCTGGTCAGTGTGGTCGACCTTTACTGGTTTTGGTGCCAGTGGCTGGCTCAGGCAGTCCTGGGTGGCCAACAGTTTGTAGAAAAGCAGACGCGTCTCCGTACAAGAACTGCGATTAGCAGAGAAGGTACGTGCAGCGTGCAAAGCGTCTGGTAGCTCAGAGGCTGTGTGACCACGCCCTGTTTGTCGAGGGGGTCCAGCACACAACAACGTGCATCTTTTCTCATCAACCCTAACCACTTGTTACGCCTGTGATGCCAAGATATGGTGGCTTACGTGCTGGCGAGGCTGGAGATTAGTAGAGATGAGCTATCGTCTGTAGCTGGTATGATGCAGGTTGGCCAGGTCTATACTGGCTGGCCTCTGCTGGTCAAGCGGTATGTGAACGGCAGGGCTCAACATGAGGAACTCACTGCGGCTGGCACGTAGGTATGGTTGGCCTGATGGTCTTCTGCAGTATATCATCCCCCAGCGCGACCCACTCCTTCAAGTAACACGTCTGGAGTCTAAAGCAGAGTCGGCAATGTCAGAGGTTGCCTGGTAAAGTGTGCTGGCGGGGGTGCGCGATGCGACAGTGTAGCCTCCCTCCTCCATAAGCACCCGACCTCCGTCCGACCCATCTATGTGGATTGGAAGCCTAGGAGCAGGCGGCATTTTAAAAGTGGCAACGATGATGGTGAGCATTGTAGAGCTTTTCAAATTAAAGTTGGCTGGCCTGTGTCTGGTCCGTCTGGTCTGGTCCCACGGCTTATGTGACTCGTGTCGGCTAATGTCAGGGACGTGGCAAGACAAGCAGCACAATGCTGTGCCATGGGCATGTTACAATTATTGGGCTACTGGCCAGGGTTTTGTCGGTTCGCCCCACCTCCTTGGTACCGGGTCCTTCGTGCGTTCTGTTGATTCCTAAACGGGTTTAGCACGAACCCTCTTGTTCAGTAGACAGGTGAGAAGCAAACACACGTATCGCATGGAGGTACAGTGGGAGATTGCGCTCTAGGGCTAGCGGATCCTCTTACGCTTTTCCCAAGCACCACCCACGTACCCCAATCCCCTACAACTCCTTCCTTCCCCTAGAGGTGACTTGTGAGAAATCTCTGGGGATCAGAGTGGCCCTTGAGGCTGGCACATTTCTTTCTTGCTGCTGCCCTGCAAGTTTGATGGCATGTACAGACAAGTAGGGATACGGAATGCTAAATATGTGGGTTGGGGGAGGGGAGGCAGGTCGGAAATTGATGTTCATGTAGAAATTGACGTGCATGAGGCAGTTCCCCAATCAGTGCTTGCATTGAAGGGGTCCTAGCGGAAGTCAAGTCGAGTCCATCTTGTGCTTGGCTTGGAAACTTTGGCTTCGGCGTTGGCGGTGCTGCTTTGTGGTCTGCTTGTGGAAGTTTGGGTTTCGGCACTGGTGGAGCGAGCTTCGAGCGCCCTGGTGAACTCGTCTCGTGATTGTTCTCCTGTTGTCGTAGGTTGCGTCTACCTCTGCTAGGTATTGTTAGCAGTGCTGCTGGTGGTCGCAGATTGTGTCCAAGTAGTCGCGTAGGCGCCGGTCGCTCTCGTGGTTCACGTATTGTATGTCGTAACATCCCGTTCGTTCCGGCACTGGTGTGGTGTGGTGTGGCTAGGGATGGTAATATCGCGGGTTGTAGCCAGTGGTATTGGAGTCGATGTTCTGTCTTGGTGCTGGTTGGCCATAGGTATGTCTGCTGGTTGATAAGTTTGTTTGTCTTGAGCTTGTGGTGGTGGTGTGGTATCTGAGCGGCTGGTGCATTAGTATGACGAGGTTGGTGTGCATGCATGTGTGATACCGAAAGGTACCTCGTGGAATCCGAAGATGCTTCGTAGTAGTTGTGACCTCTCGTGCAGATTGGGCGCTCAGTCGCACGACCGGGGCACGAGTGGAGTCATTGCGGTACTGTGGTAAGTGTTTTGGTAATACGCATATCAGCTGTAGTCGTTGGCGTGTTGATCTTGTTGTGGATGTACTAGTAGAAAAGCGTAACTGCCAACCTGAAGTCATCGTCCTGCTTGTAGAACTGCTCCATCTCCTACGGTGTTGAACCCAGAGGATGCTTTGGTCCTTCTCTGAGTCTGGGAGGTGGTGGTGGTAAGTATGTATCGGCGTGAATAGCGTCTTTGAGCACCAAGTATGTCGTTGGCTCCGCGGGCGGGAGATGGTGTCGCGATAGTGGTGTAGAGGCCAGGTCTGGCTTCAGCGGTGGGTGGGAGAGTGAGTGGCTGATGAGTTGCTCGCTGTTGAATTTGTCGAGGCGCCTGTGCCACTTGTCCATGACCGTGCCAACGGGGGCCAGCCAGAGCGACAGATCTTGCAGCATCATTCAGGGCCATGGGCGCACCCCCCCAGGCTCGGGTGCAGGGTCCTGCAGGATCCTGCAGGATCCTGCAGGATCCTGCAAAGGCTAACTGCCCCGAGGACCGCTGGGCCACGCCCATTGTCAGGTCAGGCAGGTCACCAACGAGAAACCGGCGAAATAAATCCATGCATCGCGTCTGCAAGACGTCCTGCCTGACCATTTGGGGGGGCGATACAATGGGAGGGCCCCATCATAGGACCCCAAAGAGGCCCTAGAGGGCCCGAAAAAGGCACCGTTCTCCCCTCCCATGTATCGCCCCCCCAACACCCGTCGGTTGTTGAAAATAGGTACTTCTGGATTCTCAGATCCCAATCTTTATTAGCCGCCTTCCTACTTCAAATGTCGAGCGGTTTTCCCTGCCCCCTCCTCTTCAGGGGGCGCGCGGGAGCCCGATCTACATCCACCGCCATCCTAGATCATGTTTCCACCCACCTCTTCCGAGCGACGTGCAACTCGCGCACAAGGGGAGAGCACCGCGGTGGCGCCAGAGCGCCGGAAGCGCTTGGGTAGGAGCTTGATAGACCTCCTACTCTGACACGTCGATTAGCGGATTGGCCGTTTTCGCTTCGCGGGAGGGCGTCGCGGCCATCATTTTTGCGGGTCCAGGTCAGTCGGTTTCGGTCCTAGGCCGTTTCAACTAAAGGGAGGTTTACTGAAGGGAGGTTTGCCCACCGCCGAGGGGTATGCCAGAGCATGCCAGCGGCACCCCTCGACCCCATCGGTGCTCCTTCGCCGCCGCGCCGGCCTCTCGGGTTGAAGCCACCGGGCGCCGCCGCCGCCGCGCCGTCGGCACGCGGGGAGCGGAGCCGCGCGGCATCACAGCGAAGTCGGGCATGTCTTCCTACAGGAGGGATGTGCGAAAATGGTCAACAAAAAGAATCTGGGGACGATGCTTTTTTTGAGCATGTGCTGGCCATTCTTGAATCTGTTTCGATTAGTTGTTTTTTTGTTGGCACACGGACTCCGCCTGTGGGGAGGCTGGTCCACCGCCGATTGGCTCCCCCGGCGCGCGCCTCGGCCGCCCGCCCGCACCCGCAGCCGGGGGCTCCTCCTCGGCCGCCGAGGCGCTACGTGCTCGACCTGGGCAGCCTCGACGGGCGGCCCGCCCGGGCTCCCTCGGCCGGCGGGCCCTCCCTCCGAGCTGCTCTGCCTCCCCGGGCCCTCCCCGCCTGCGTGCTCCTCCCGCCGCCTGCCTCGCTCCTCCTGCCTCGCTCCTCCTGCCTCGCTTCTCCGCCTCCTCCTCCTCCGCCTCCTCCTCCTCCTCCGCCTCCTCCTCCTCCTCCGCCTCCTCCTCTTTACCTCCTTCCCTCCGTAGCCGTTTTGGCTCAAGCCATGGCTCGGCCCCTGGTTTGAGCTCGCTACGGTCCCCGCCTGGTCCCATGGATCCCCTGGCGGCTGGCCTCTTCCGCGCGGTCGTGGAGGCGGGCGGATCGCGGCACGTCGTGGCGGCCACGGCGGTCACCTTGTGGCGTGCGGCCCGCGATGGCGGCGTTGATGGCGTCCGGTGCAAGCAGGAGATTGAGGACGAGGTCAGCGGCCGCGTGGCACTGGTCGAACCCGTCCTCAGGGCCAAGGTCGTGGCGGCCCACAGGGACACCCAGGCCCGCATCGGCAGCGGGACCCGTGCTGCGCGTAACGTCGCGGAGCACGCGCTCTTCGGCGACGGCGTGGCGGCGCTCCCTGCCACTGCGAAGGAGGCGAAGCAGAAGCAGAGGGGGCGACGCCGTGGCGCTCTGGCCGAGCCGCTGGAGAAGCTGGCTTCGAAGCCGGTGGCGAAGAGGATCGGGGAGAAGAAAATGGAGGGCATCGGTCGCGGCCCAGTTTGCAAGGCCACCGACGTGGAGGGGCTCGTGTTGGCCAGGAACGATGGAGACGTGCTGGTCCCAGAGAACACCTGGTTCTACAAGGGGGAGACCAAGAACGACCCCTTGCAGACGGGGGGGCTGATGAAGTTCGGCGTCAGGTGCACCCCAGACTGCAAGGCCAACCATGCTGTGAAAGAGTTGGTGTCGGACATGTGCGACAGAGACGTGCTGGTCATGGAGAAATCTCGGCTCCACAAGGGCGAGACCAAGAATGGCTCCAGGCTGACGGGGGAGCTTCCGAAGATGGACTTCAAGGGCGACCCTGACGGCAAGGCCACCCATGCGGTGAAAGGTTTGGCGTCGGCCATGAGCGACGGAGACGTGTTGGTCCTGGAGAACACTCGGCTCCACAAGGGCGAGACCAAAAACAGCTCCGAGATGATTTGGGAGCTGATGAGGAAGGACATCAAAGGCGACCCTGACTGCAAGGCCATCGACAAGGTGGAGGAAACGGTCTCGGCCAGGAACGACGGAAAGGTGCTGGTCCTGGAGAACAATCAGCTCCACAAGCGGGAGACCAAGAACGAGTCCGAGAAGATGGGGGAGCTGAGGGAGACTGATTGCGCCTGCCTCGACCGCGTCAAGCGTAAGATCGAGGAGGAGGAGGAGGAGGAGGAGGAGGAGGCGAAGTTGAACGCTGCTGCGCTGGCGGTCGCCGCCGTGCGCAACGGCGGCGCTGTGGAGAGCCAGGCGCAGCAGGACGAGCTGGCGGCCGCCGCCTGGCGCTGCGCCGAGCTCGCCGCGCAGCTCGACGCGGCCACGGCGGAGGCCTCGGACGCCGCCTTCGAACAGGAGGCGGGCGCCGTGGGCCAGGTCGGCGTGTGGCCTACGCCAAGGGCGTGAGGCCTCGGCAGGGGTCCTTGGGGCTTCTCGGGGGCCTCGCAGGGAATTGAATGCCTGACCCTTTCGGGTCGTTTCCAGCCTCCCCTCCTCCTCCTCCTCCTCCTCAACCTCTATCGTCAAAACCATATCCCTCCCTGTCGTTGGCGCTGTCGTGGTCGTGGTTCGTGTTGCTCTGCTCGGGACGTGGCTCGGATTCATCGAGTTGGCGCGCCTGCTCCTCCTCCTCCTCCTCTTCCCTTCCACGTACTCCTTCCTCCTCCTCCCTCCTCCTCCTCCTCCTCCTCCTCCCCCATCTTGCCCATTTTCCCTTGGAGGTCCTGCCTAAAATACCGCGGGAGGGATGGGGACGAAGAGGATAGTGGGATAAGTAGTAGATGCTACGGTGGGCGTTATCCGGCCTAACCTAACTTACTAGTTGGGGATAAGTGTCCCGACTGGCGTGTGGAGATCGACCACCAAATCCTTGTTGTTGTAGCTCCCTTTGTCCGGGGCTTGAAGCAATTCGAGCATCCTGACGCGAGCTGTCGAACAGGCAGCCGAGCTGCCCCTCTTTCATACAGGACACCAGGGGCGGCGGCTTTTCTTGTCTGTCTGTCTGTCTGTCTGTCTGCCTGCCTGTCTGTCTGTCTCCCTGCCTGCCTGTCTGTCTGTCTGTCTGTCTGTCCGTCTCTTTCTCTCTCTCTCTCTCTCTGTCTGTCTGTCTCTTTCTCTCTCTCTCTCTGTCTGTCTGTCGGTCTGTCTGTGTCTGTTTAGGCTAAGGATAAATCGCTCCAGACAGTCCAGGAAAGCTCTCAGAGCTTTCTGGAGCGCTCGGAGTCGGCCGCGACTCTCGATGCGTCTTCCGGGCCCGCCAGCTTCAAAGATCCCCATGCTTGTCTCCATCTGGAGCCTACCCTCGTGCCCGCGTCCGTCGTAGGTTACACGGAAGTTTGCACTCGTCTTCCGCTTGGACTTCCCGCGTCCAGCAGCGTCTAGGCGGCCAATAGCGTTCCGTAGCGCCCAAAGGGCGCGCCCAATAGCGACCAATGGCTCCATATGGAAGAGATGCATCACGCCCGCTTTGCGCTCCACTGGACACGCTCTTAGGCGCCACAAAGACGGCCAAAAGCTTCTGGCGACTACTTTCTCACGTGCGGGTGGCCGCAGCGCGCAGGGCTTTGGACCGAGGCGTGCCTGTCATGTACTCGGAAGGGTGAAACAACATGTTCGTGCTCGGACGTTCGCGAACTCTTCGTCAACGGCTCAGAACCAGATGCTCGCGAACTCCAGGACCAACGAGGGCCTTGTGCACGGCAGTTCGTCTAAACAGAATACAGGGGTGTTAAAAACGAACGGTTCGGGAACAACTGGAGCGTTCCAGAAAGGGCCTTGCCCTTGAGGATCGAAGGAGTTGTCATCTCTTCCGCGACTGGAGGCAGCGGAAGGTCGGCGGAAGTAAAACGAGGCCGCCTCCGCCGGCGGGAGCCGTCGGAAGCCAGCGGAAGGCTGGCGGAAGGCGGCGGAAGTAAAAGATGTACCCCCAAGAGATGCAAACGCTTTTGGGTTCAGGGTTTCCGAAGTCGCCCAATTGTTTGCTAACGATGGTCAGTTCAGCCCCAGCTTTGCACGTGCACGCTCACTGCGTCTGCAGGATCTGCCAGCCGCACCCCTCGACCCCATCGAAGGGTTCTTCTGTGGCGCCGCGCCGGCCTCTCGGGAAGCCACCGGGCGCCGCCGCGGCGCCGTCGGCGCGCGGGGCGAGGAGCCGCGCGACTCCAGAGCCGGCTCCAGGGTGGCTCAGCACAGACAATAGAACGGAAGCCGACACAGCTGTGGGGAGTTGGTCACCGAATTGATCCCCACGGGGCGTTATGGTTAGGTAGGGCATGTCCCCTTACAGGAGGAGTATTCAAGAATAGTATTCAATAGTGTGACGATGTTTCGCTCTCCTTTTGATTATGTTTGTTTGTGCCAATGTTTGTTTCTCTTCCAAGATCCGCCTGTAGGAGGACATGCCCGACCTAATGTGATAGGGGATGTGCTCTGGCGCATCTGGCTGCAGTCGCTGTCTGCGCTCAACCAGTGTCGAGGGAAACCTGGCTCCGCGGCTGGAATTTGTCCATCCGGGAAGTTCCATAAACATTCTCGCTTTCGGAGATCGAAGTAGGGACCATCTCTTCATCGGCAAAAGGCGGCGGAAAACTCGCGGAAGTAGAATAAGGCCGCCTCTGATGGCGGAAGCCGGCGGAAGTAAAAGATGCGCCCTCAAGAGATTCATATTTTCGGGTTCGGAGTTTCCAGGATCGGCCAGGTCCACCGCCTGGGCATCCGATCTTCCATGACCTCCGGGGGCGGTGAATATGGATACCGTAGCACCCTGCAGATGCGGATATGAGTGAGGGGGCGTTGGGGACACCGGCAGTCTGCGAGACTCCAGAGAAACCCGCCGCAGGCGCCAAAGTTTCACAAATTATAAAATGAGCCCGACGCAGGATATTGATTTTTTCGTTAAACCAGTGTGGATAGGTCGCGGGTGGGTCGCAAATGGGTCGCACTTTGGTCATGGGTGGGTCGCGGGTTGGGTTGCAAGTGGGTCGCCGGTGGGTCGCGGGGTGGGTCGCGGGGTGGGTCGCGGGGTCGGTCGCGGGGGGTCGCGGGTGGGTCGCGGGTGGGACGACGACAACACGAAGAACAACAACGCAACAACGCAACAAGCAGTATCCTCACCACAGATCCCCACTTCAGCCACGCACCCAGGGACAATGAATGACCGTTCGGCCCCCTCACTCTGATCTTCGTGAGGGGTCCTAGAGGTTATTCGTTGTCCTCGGATGCTTGGCTGAACTTGGATTCCGTGGCCCGGACTATTGTTTCTGTTGTTGTTTTTGATGTTTGTTGCTGTAGTCGTTCTCGCCAGCGACCCACCCACGACCCACCCCGCGACCTGACCGCGACCGACCCCGCGCCCGCCCCCTCACTCTTGTCCGCAACTCCCGCATGCTACGCATTTGGGCCACAGGGGGCCCAAACATATCCATGCAGTGAGCCTGCATGGTAAGGATATGCAACCTTCCAGGGTTAGCCGTGCATCCGTCCCGAGGTCGCTTTCGCGGGCCACGCTCCGCTCGCAAAGTGTCGGCGTGGCCTGCTAGCCCCTTGCATCTATCGTGCGTCCTTCTGATACGATTAAGTCGGGCTTGTCCCTCTACAGGAGGGAATTCAGAAATAGTCACAAAATAGTCTGGGGACTATTTTTTGAATATTTGTGTGACCATTTTGGAATATGTTTGGGTTTTTTTTTCATATTTTCGTCGAAAATCCCCCTGTAGGGGGACACGCCCGACTTAATGAGACGAGTTGACTGTATGGAAAGATCCCCGCCTCGCCCCGGTGCGCCTGGGTGCCGAGGTGCCGAAGCAGGTCTGCCGGCTGCCTTGGGCGGATTCACAAGGCGGGCCGCGAGAGTGGCCGGCGGGCTCGCCGGGCTCGAGCTCGCTCTCTCTCTCTCTCTCTCTCTTTCTCTGTCTTTCCTTCTCTCTTGCCGCACCCTCACCAAGGGCGCCCTCGAGGGCGCGAAGTTATTCGCGCCTCGCGCTTCGGCTCCGATTCCTCCTCATCCTCTTCTTCCCTGGGAGGCGGCGCGAGAGCGCGAAGTTGTTCGCACTTCGCGCAGCGCGAAGCGCGAAGCGCGAAGTTGGGAGCCGCACCCTCACTTCTTGCAATCCCGCTGCAGCCATTAGACGCTGTCGCGGTTACGTTTGCAATCGTTGCTTGGATGTGTGTGTGTTGGGGAGGCTTGGTGTTCATGCGCCCGTCCGCAGGGGATACGTAGTACGTAATGCTGCTCAAAAGTAAAGCATGCATTGAACACCATTCCAACTATACAAACGGGTCGACCGAATAATGACAACACCTCGACCGCCTGCGGACTCGAAAGGGTCTTGAACTGCCTACATAGTTGCCGCTTGGATGCCACCACGACATCCGATGGCAGCGCCTGCGCTGGGAGTTCTCCTTCCTCCCTTTCTTTCAGCACTGAGGCAAGGGGTTTGCGGGTTGGCGGCGATCTTCGACCTTCCTGGGCGTCTCACGGCCCGGGGACCGTCAGCAACAGCACCCAGGATGAAAAGTTGGTTCAGAGGAAATGCCTGGAGACTGGAGTCCAGATCCAGTTTCCCCCAGGACCTTTTTCCCTCAGGCCAGTTGGGTTTTAGTATTTTCCTCCAATTTCCCAGGCCCGCGCAGTGCACACGAAACAAAGGGCTGCCTCCAAATATTACACCGAGTGAGTACCAGTGCCCTGTAGTGCTCCTCCACCTCCTCCTTGCATTTATTCTGCCAAGCGGACGGTGCGTGAAGTACGCACGCTTGAGCCAGGCTGTGACGGCGATGCGCAGACTGGGGTTGGTGTCCAGGCATGTAGCGTGCTCGCCATTCGATCCAAGGACTTGCTTGACGTAGAAGGGGTATGGATGTCCGTGGGTGTTGGTGTGACTGGGATCGTAGGCGAGTATGGCCCAAACTTTAACTCCTGGTGATCTGGTTCGTAGGCTGATCCTGATTGTCCAAGTTGTTTGGCGTAGTCGGGTTGCATCGTGCGGTCAGGGTCGATCTCGACATAAAACGGTCTGAGCGTGTTGTGCACGTAGTTCGGGCCAGCGCTTGGCGTGCACTTGTAAGCCCATACGGTCGTGTAGGGGTCCGTGATAGGTAAGATTGCACAGCTGTGGAGGGTATTCCTGAAGGTGTAATGTGATGAGCCCTATCCTTGTGGCGTCTCTTTAAGGACAGTACCGTGGTCATGTAGGTGGTTACAGCGTCCGTGGTTGGTCGTCCCCGATAGCGTATGGGCTGCGTTCGGTATGTGCACTGTCAGTATGGTCGTCGGCCTTTTAGCCTCCGCGCCGAACATGCATTGGTCAAATGATATATGGTTGTTGCATGCGGTGCGTTCAGTAGGTTTCTGTGCTCCAGCAGCTTCCAAGTGGAGACGCAGCGGGCACGCCAGTGGGTGTTGACGGGTGTTCCATGGTCGCGGGTATGCCGATGAGTAACGCTTCCAGGAGTAAGTCGAGCGTGAATTGTAGAAGTTGATTGCCGATGCGTACCTGTGCACGTTCCTTGGTCCATGGTTGTAGGATGCCTCGTAGCACTCGTGAGCCATTGTCTGTGCTATCCAGTATTCGCCTCCTTCTTCTCTTCCTCCACCTCCTCCTATTCCTCCTCCTCCGCATCTTCCTCCTCCCCCTCCTCGTCCTCCTCCTCCTCCTCTTCCTCATCCTCCTCCTTTGCATCTTCCTCCTCTTTCTCCTCCCCCTCCTCCTCCTCCTCCTCCTCCTCCTCCTCCTCCTCCTCCTCCTCCTCCTCCTCTTCCTCGTGTTCCTCCTCATCCTCATCATGCTCCTCCTCCTCCTGTTCCGCCGCCTCCTCCTTCTCCTCCTCCTTCTCCTCCTCCCCCTCTCCCTGCTCGACCTCCTCGTCCTCCTCCTACTCCTCCTCTTCCTCCTCCTCCGCATCTTCCTCCTCCTCTTCCTCCTCCTCCTCTTCATCCTCTTCCTCCTTCTCCTTCTCCTCCTCTTTTTCCTCTTCTTCCTCCTCATCCTCCTCCTCCTCCTCTTCCTCGTCCTCCTCGTCCTCCTCTTCCTCCTCCTCTTCCTCCTCCTCTTTCTCCTTCTCCTCTTTTTTCCTCCTCCTCCTCCTCCTCCTCCTCCTCCTCCTCCTCCTCCTCCTCCTCCTCCTCCTCCTCCTCCTCGCCCTCCTCCCCGTCTCCTCCACATGCTGCCAGAACGCTTCCGGGTGCTGGATGCGTGACCGTTTCACTGGAAGAAGGGGGGGTGTCCTTCTTCCTTGGGTTGACCATGCGGCCGAGATCTTTTGGATAGCGAGTCGCTGCGCCGGTTCTGGCCCGCCGCACTTCGGAGCGACACGCTGTCCACATCCCGGGTCCCCGAGGCGTCAGTGTCCCGCGCTTTCCCGGGCCCCTCGCCCCGCGGAGCGGAGGGGCGCGCCATCCGCTCGCAGGGCACATCTGGTCGCCGGGGCCGCCGCGGCGACAACCGGAGCAAACGTTCCCGACCGTAGACATTCGGAGATCTGCGCGGACGTCTTGGATCGGCGCTGCGCCGCCCCCTGGCGACGCCTTCGGCGCCGCCTTCTGGCACGTGCCGCAGGCCACGGGGCGGTGCGCCCAGCGCCGACCTCCGAGAGTTGATGTTGAGGCAGCTGCTGTTCTCTCGACCTGCATGGCTCTGGGGGGCGGTGGCCTCGACGAAGCGTGCTGTGCTCGTCTGGAAATGCTGCGCTGGCTCGTGCCTGGCAGACGTTCTAGGCGTTGCGTGAAGCACTTGGTGGCGAGGGCCATCGTATTCACCGCGCGACAGTTGGTCGACTGCATGCGCAAGCAAGGGCTTCGGTGCACGCGCTCAGATGGCGGCGTCAACGAAAGCTCGCCCGTGATCCTTTTGTCCACTGCACGCGTACCCTTAAGTCGGGCGTGTCCCTCTACAGTAGGGAACTTCAAAAATGGTAAAATAAAAGCATACCCTGGCGACGTACCCAACCCCTGCGCAATGCGGGGCATGAGTAGCTTGGGAGACGTTATACGGAGGTGATGACGTGACATGGGCGCACATACTTCTGCGAGCGGCATTCGTGAGGCTCGCAGCCCCCCAAGGATTGCGATGTCCCGCTCAGATCTGCCTGGAGCCTCGCTCCGCTGGACCCACCAGCAGCCCTTGAACGTGGCGGCAGTTTCGCAGATCGCAGCCCCCCAGGGACGGCGAGGTCTCGCTCAGGTCCGCGAGGTGCCCCACTCCGCAGGACCCACCAGCAGCCCTCGAAAGTGGCGGCAGTTTCGCAGATCGCAGCCCCCCAGGGACGGCGAGGTCCCGCTCAGGTCCGCGAGGTGCCCCACTCCGCAGGACCCACCAGCAGCCCTCGAAAGAGGCGACAGTCTCGCAGATCGCAGCCCCCCAGGGACGGCGAGGTCCCGCTCAGATCCGCGCGGTGCTTCACTCCGCAGGACACACCAGCAGCCTTCGAAAGTGGCGACCGTTTCGCAGATCGCAGCCACCCAGGGACGGCGAGGTCCCGCTCAGGTCCGCGCGGTGCTTCACTCCGCAGGACCCACCAGCAGCCCTCGAACATGGCGACAGCCTCGCAGATCGCAGCCCCCCAGGGACGGCGAGGTCCCGCTCAGATCTGCGCGGTGCCTCACTCCGCAGGACCCACCAGCGGCCCTCGAAAGTGGCGACGGTTTCGCAGATCGCAGCCCTTCAGGGACGGCAAGGTCCCGCTCAGGTCCGCGCGGTGCTTCACTCCGCAGGACCCACCAGCAGCCTTCGAAAGTGGCGACATCTTCGCAGATCGCAGCCCCCTCAGGGACGGCGAGGTCCCGCTCAGATCCGCGCGGTGCCTTACTCCGCAGGACCCGCCAGCAGCATTCGAAAGTGGCAGCAGTTTCCCAGATCGCAGCCCCCCAGGGACGGCGAGGTCCCGCTCAGGTCCGCGAGGTGCCCCACTCCACCAGCAGCCCTCGAAAGTGGCGGCAGTTTCGCAGATCGCAGCCCCCCAGGGACGGCGAGGTCCCGCTCAGGTCCGCGCGGTGCCTCAATCCGCAGGACCCACCAGCAGCCTTCGAAAGTGGCGACGGTCTCGCAGATCGCAGCCCCCCAGGGACGGCGAGGTCCCGCTCAGATCCGCGCGGTGCTTCACTCCGCAGGACCCACCAGCAGCCTTCGAAAGTGGCGACGGTCTCGCAGATCGCAGCCCCCCAGGGACGGCGAGGTCCCGCTCAGGTCCGCGCGGTGCTTCACTGCGCAGGACCAACCAGCAGCCCTCGAAAGTGGCAGCAGTTTCGCAGATCGCAGCCCCCCAGGGACGGCGAGGTCCCGCTCAGGTCCGCGCGGTGCCTCAATCCGCAGGACCCACCAGCAGCCCTCGAAAGAGGCGGCAGTTTCGCAGATCGCAGCCCCCATTGTCGGCGACGAGAGGGCAGGAGGAGGCGGGAGGCCGGAGAAGGGACGCGACCACAGTGTTGTATTCAAAACGAATACCCAACCAAGGAGGGTTCGGAAATAGTAGGGGGAGGATGTTTCAACTATTTGTCCCCATTTGGGAGTATTGTTTGACCATTTTCAGTTGTTCCTCCAAAATACGCCTGTTGGAGGACACGCCTTGCCCAATCCTAGTGAGACTCCGCAGCCATGTCGGCTTACCCCGAAGAGCGGTTCGACGGCAAGTGAGGTTAAGGCGGGCGTGTCCCTCTACAGGAGGAATGTTCATAGTCAGGGGACGATGTTTCGATTATATTTGACTATGTTTGAATATGATGTGGCAACGTCTCCACATGTCTTATAAGATCTGCCTGTAGGAGGACATGCCCGACCTAAGTGCAAGGCTGACCCCTTATATAGAACGCCTGTTTTCGTGGGCACACGCTTCTCTTTTCAAATCGCAATTCGCCTCCCAAGCGGATGTCCACCTGAGTGGTCCTGTCGGGACCTCTCAGGCACAAGTGCTAACTTTCAAGGTTCCACGGTCACCTCGATGCAGCAGGCTTCGCACCTGGGCCACCATAGGGGTGGATAGACCAGGGAGTGTTGCACGGTCCCGTTCGTACTCAGACAGTCGGGACCTCTCAGGCAGAACAGCCGTCTAGGAGGGCTGGACGCCAATGCTCAGCACGACTTATATTCAGAAGCTGAGACACTGAAGCGTAGTAACATGTAAGCAGATGTTTCAACACATAGGCGCATAGAACAAGAAACAGCTTGCCAGCTGGTGCTCCACGAACGCTCACGGTGGGGGCGTTGGTCGAGGAGTGTGCCCAGGAGACTGCAGACCCTGGCAGATTCCCTATCTGACGATGGCGACGGTGATAGCCCTGCCCAAGCCACGCTTGGAGTCCCACCAGCTTCCAGACTCTGGAGTCCTCACCCACTGGTTCCTTCTTCAAAGGACCCCACCGTGTGCTCCCCCGATGGCCCGGCGGGGGCCCGCGGAGGCCCTGCAGCACCTCTGGCAGCTCGGACGTCGTCGACGCGCTGGGCTCTGCGAGCGCACGGGCCGGCCGAGCAGGAGACCGTCGGCTCGACTGGGCGTAAGTCAGGAGTGGAAAAAACACACAGACACAATTAATCGTCGACTTCCCAGAAAATATGGACAATATGGGAAGTGGGGGGGAAGACAAAAACCCAGACAATATGGGAAAATATGGGGAATCCTTTTATTCGTGTCTATTTATTTGTGTGTCCCAGGGCCCCTTCAGTAAGAGCGACCTCTCGCCGGAGTGACCTTTGGGAGCGGGCCCACGGGGGTCCCCCGACCGCCGAACGCGATGCGGTCGTAGCGTCTTGCGCGCTCGTGTGTGGTCCCCCCGCGGCGCCCCTCAGAAGCCCCGCGCCAAGGGTCACTCCGACCCAGGGTCACTCCTGCGTCTAGTCGATCGACACGCGTGCCCACACATGTCTTACAGCGGGTTCTCTTCTCGCAGTCTGAGCCCGTCGGGGCGTGGGGGGGGCAGGCTTTTCTACCCGCAGTGGGAACGCGCTCCGAGGCGTGAGAGCGAGGCACAGTTGCGCAGCGTGAGGGGCGGACTGCTTTTCACCGGTGCGCGAGATACATCATCACGAGTCGGCTTTCCCTGCTGCCTGTGAGAACACGTACGGTGGGTGCGTTGGTTAAGGAGTAGTCCCAGGAGGCGCCAGACCCTGGAGGATTCCTTTTCCAATGAGGTCGGCGGTGATATCCATGGCCAAGCTTCGATTGGAGTTCCACCAGCTTCCAGACCCTGGATTCCTCACCGAAGGGTTCCTTAGCCAATGCCCCCCGCCGCTGGAGAGCGTGGCGAGGGCGCACGGCTTCGCGTCCCTGGCGGCGGCGCGGGACCGCGGGCGCGAGGCCCGCGCCGGGCGCGCCGCGGCTGCGCGCGGGGCCCGTGGACCCCAGGAGGACGAGCATCGCCCGTTTTGAGGTGCTCGCTCTTGGGGGTCCCGCCCGCGCGATGCATGATGAATACAAGCGGCGGCGCTTGCGCCCGCGAGCATTCAAACAAAATGCCCCCGCCGCAGTTCAGGTCGTGTGTGTCTGTGAGCACCTCCGCGTCGCCTGATTTTTTGCTGCCCCGGGCGCAAGGCGCAGACGCAGGGCGTCTCCACCGCCCCGCCGCTGGCCAGCAGCGGGGCCGCCCTGGTGGAGCCGGAGGAGGCGGCCGCGATCGTCGTCTCTTCCTTCTCGGTCCACGCTTATCGTCGTCTTTTTCTTTCCTCCTCCTCCTCCTCCTCCTCCTCCCCCTCCTCCTCCTCCTCCACCTCCTCCTCCTCCTCATCCTCCTCCTCCTTCTCTTCCTTCTCTTCCTTCTCTTCCTTCTCGTCGGGGGCGTCCAAGACGGGGTGGAGACCAGCGGGGGTAGATCGCGAGCGGCGCTCCCGAAGGAGAGCCTGGCCCCGCTTGGGAGATGTTCGGGAAACCCGGGGTCGGGAGACCCGAAGAAATAATCTGGCATTTCGGAGGTCTGGGCGGATGCATGACCAGCATTAAGCCAGGCCTGTCCCTCTACAGGGGAGAAACTCAAAAATCGTCAAAAAATAGTCTGGGGGCGATGTTGTTTTATCATTTTTGCATATGTTGGGGACATTTTTTGCGTATTTTATTCATTTGTCGTCCAAACTCCCCCTGTTGGGGGACATGCCAGACCTAAGACCAGAACTCCGCTCGGAAGGACGCCGACGACGAGGCCAAGCCCGAGGAAAGGAGGAAGAGGCACGTCCGCCTGCGTGCCTGCGCGCGTGAAGCTTGGCCTAACCGTAAGTCGGGCCTGTCCCTCTACAGGAGGGAGTATCTACAAATAGTCCAAAAATAGTATGGGGACGAATTTTCTACTTTTTTTTGATAATGTTTGTACATTGTTTGACCATGCTTTGTTTTTCGTCGAAAATCCGCCTGTAGGGGGACATGCCCGACCTAAGCCTAACTACTGGCTGACTCCTCCACGTCTTCACTCAGGAGCCAAAGTGCCACACCAGCATTCCCTCAGGATGCCATCCGCGAGAGGCCCCTCCCCTGGGCGGATGTCTCGCCAGAGGGGGTCACCTTGTGACGACGGAACGGACCTGGCCCCTGGGAGAACTGTAGGCGGCTCTGGCTCACTGGGCCACTGGGGGGGGCCAGCGAGAGCGAAGCGGATTCGTGGGCGTTCTAGTTGCGTGGCGTTGGCGTTGTGTTTGCTCTACGTTTGCCGTGCTCCCGCGGAGCGTCTGTAGTCTGCAAGCTTGCATCCGCCAGCACATCAGACGGCGTGGCACACCCGTCGGCAAATCCGCGGCACATCTGGCACATCCCCCGCCGCTTTGCTCTACATCCGCCAGCACATCCTCTGATTCTTCAGGTATATCAGTCGGAGCACTTGTGTCTTTCGCGACAGAAGATCACAAGCACTTGCTCGGTAGACGTGGCAAAGCACATTCTTGAGCGAAGGGGTGCTACCATGTTGCCGAATCGACCATTTAGAACGGTTTGAGGCGTTGGTTGACTTGAGTCTCGCTATGGTCGCGATCGCACGTGCGTTCTGCCAGTGATCCTGGTGCAGGGATAGACGTTCGGATGTCTTCCCTTCAGATCCTCCCTGCCTGTCGTGCCACCAGCCGGGCGTCAAGCCTAAGATTTTCTCACAAGTTCTGTTGTTGTGCGACAGTTGTTCGGATGGGGGGGATGGTTGCGATGTAGGGGTTCTCACAATAGCGCCGCGCACATTCGTTTAAAAACATGTGCAGCATCTGCGATGTTTGAGGGAGGCTCTTGTTCGAAAAGAGGGTCTCGCCGCAGCACCGAGCACGCTCGCGACATCAACTGCATCAGTTGCATAGATGGATGTGTGGGGTGGGGAGGGGTCAACATCGGGCTCTCGCCTGAGCGCCTCGCATGTTCGGCTTGCAACAGCTACAGGGATAGAAGACCGTGCCTTTTCAACATGGGGCGATCGCGCGAGACTTCTAATTCTTACATACCAGCGGCGTGCACCTGTGCAACAGCCGCACGGGCAGGGGGACGATTCCTTTTTCAAAGTTGGGTGGTCGATTGAGATTCGTTCGAAGCCCCTGACTAAAGGCTGAAAGTGCAAATCCACGAGTCCATCCAGGACGATGCCGATGATGATGATGATGAGTCTGATGATGCTGATGATGATGATGATGATGATGTGTCTCCTGATGGTGGTGATGATACATGGTGATGGTGGTGATGCCGATGATGATGATGATGATGATGATGATGATGATGATGATGATGATGATGATGATGATAATAATGGTGCTGCTAATGATGATGATGCTGATGCTGATGCTGATGCTGCTGTTGATGATGGTGATTCTGGCGATGGTGGTGATCAGGGTGATGGTGATGCTGATGATGATGATGCTGATGCTGATGATGATGATGATGATGATGATGATGATGATGATGATGATGATGATGATGATGATGACGATGGCGATGGCGATGGCGTTGACGATGACACTGACGTCATCGTCATCGTCATCGTCATCGATGCCACAAGGAGTTCACCTTATCGGGGGAGCGTGGCATCAGTTCGATGACTCGGGGAGCCTCCGTGGGCCAGGGGCCTCTCTCGGATATCCTCCCAGCGTCTCCTGGGATGCCTCGTCGAGGCCTCTTGGGGGCCTCTTTGGGGCGTGTTTTGGGCCCCCTCGGCAGCACTGAGGAGCCTCATGGGGCCTCTTGGGTGTGGGATCCTCTGGGCTCCTCACGAGTCCTGAGGAATCTTCAGCGATCCTCAGGAATCCTCAGGTCCTGAGGGATCCTCAAGAATCGCCTGGGCTCCTCCAGAGTCCTCAGGGCCTCTTGGGGAGGGGGGGGGGCGGGGAGCGACTTTGGGTGCCTCTTGGGGGACCCCTTGGGGGGCAGCTTGGGCGCCTCTTGGGGGGCCTCTCGGGGGCCCTCAGGGGGCCTCTTGTGGCCCTCGTGGGGCTATCTTGGGAGCGTTTCGGGCCGCGTCGGGGTCAGATTGGAGGCCGTCGATCAAAGAGGTGTGGACGCCAATTGCCCCCGCCGCCCCCAACCCTCGCACAGGAGGCCAATGTTAGCCCAGACCTGTGACGAATCAACGCGGCTGGCCTTCTCGCTGAGGCCATCTTGGACGCCCTGACCGCTCGCGAGATCCCCAGTCCAGACCCAGGGGGCAGGAGGGGACGGGGGAGGTGTACGCCCCTCCCCGAAGGAGAAGAGGGAGGGGATGGACGAGCAAGCAGAGCGATTCCTGTTCCTGAAGGCAGACTCACAGGGCGCTGGTCGTTCAACGGGGGCGCGCCCTGTAGTGGCCCGGAAGGTCTGCAGGGCCCTTCGGGGAGGGTACCTGGCACGGAAGTGTACATGATGCATGTTTGTTGCGTCTGTAGTCCGCTTCCTTCTATCCGTCCTCAGCCTCATCCGCCTGCTGTTGTTCTCCCTCTCGTTCCTCCGGACCCTCCGTTTGCCTCTCGGCCGTCCCCCCGTCTGCTTTTATGATCACCCTTGGGTTTTCAGGTTCTGTCTCATCTTCGGCTTTTTTGTTTCTGGGCCCACAAAACCGCATTCGCTTCCTCAGTGCCATCATTAGCCTCCGCTCCTCTCCTTAGAACGACTCACGCTGTTACTTATGATTGTTTGAGGCGTTCCCTCTCCTCGTCCTTCCTTCTACCACTTCTCCTCCGGTTCACCCTCAAACTCGTGCTGCTCACCTTGCCCCCCCCCCCCTCCCCAAAACCCACGACGCCGTGGTCCATTCACAGCAGGGCGCCCCGGAGGTCTCAACCCCTGCCCCGTGGCCTGCCTGCTCTGCGGAGTCCACGCGCGTGGACGGTCCTCGGGCCCAGTGAGGGCCCCGGCGGCGGTGCTCACTTCTCAGGGCGCCAGGAGGCCTGGGCTCACCCTCCTCCTCGCCTCGCCGTCCCCCGCGGCTCCTGCCCACGACATGCCCCTCCGGCGCCAGGTGCTGACCTTCTGCGAGGCGAACGAGCTGAACGAGAGGGCTCGCCCGGGCGGGGTGGGCCAGTGGAGCAGTCTGTGGAGAAGGTCACCGGCGGGGCGGCGTGCGTTCCAGAGAATAGGATCTCAAGCTACTGCACTACACCCTGGCGGAACAATGCCTGGAGCGGCAGATTCAGCAGAGGAGGGAGAGGTACCCATATCCCATATCGCTACCCTTCGGCCGCTCTCCCCTTCTGGGGCCTCCTGGGAGGCCCTCGTCGCCACCGCTGGATTCGCTTCGAAGTCCTGGTCAGAGCGCGCCCCGGGGAGAAGGGCACTGTACTCTGCTGTGCCTCCGGGGCACCACGCGGGAGAGCGAGGGAGAGCATGAGGGGGAGCGTACGGGATGCAAGCATAGACCACACAGACAGACCACACAGGCGAGCATATGGGAGATCATGCGGCAGACAGACCACACAGGCGAGCATATGGGAGAGCACGCTACACGGTGGAGACCCAGGCCAACAAAAAAAACACCTTGCTTACCTCCAGGGTGCCCTGGGCTTCTTGGGTGTCGCTGGTTTGGCTACGGCGAGCGTGACGCTCCCGCACCAAAAGTCCATGGACGTCTGGAGGTCTCAGGGTTGGGTTTCTTGTGGAAGGTTCCTTGTGGCCCGGCCCCTGCTGTGCGGGAGACCGTGCGGGCGAACATGCGAGCCAGCGCCAGCAACGGCGCCCACCCCCCTTGGCCCTGCTGGCGAGCCGTGCAGAGAGCGCTGCCAGACAAGGTGTTTCGTGGATCGGCAGCAGTGTTCGGATCCCCGCGCGGCGCTGTCTCTTCGGTCGGCGTGGGACGCTTCGTGGCGGCGCCTCCAGTGCCGTGCGCCAGGGGAGGCGGATCCCAGACATCAGCGCGGCATCGGGAAGTTTAAATTTATGCTGGTCGCTGCTCCTCAAAGGAATCCCCCGATGGCCCTAAACCTTCACCACATTCGTCCAGGGCAATGTCAATATGCAGTAACCGCGTCCGCCCTGCCTTCTCTCTCCTCATCGATCCTCCTCGTCTCCCATCTAGAAGAAAGAATTCGACGTGTGGTCGAGAAGATAAGCCGCTTGCTGTGGATGGACGATGTTGCGACTCGTATACTGCGGGTCGGCGTAGCCGTGATGCCTACCAGCGAGTATTACGACGGTGATGGTAATGATGTTGTTGCTGCTGATGATGATGCTGATGATGATGATGATGATGATGATGATGATGATGATGATGATGATGATGATGATGATGATGATGGTGAAGGGCCTTTGTGGCTTCCAAGGACACCCTGTATGCCTGACGTGATCCATGTGGCCGCTTTCCAAATAACATGTATGGATGAATTCTATGATGTGGTCTGCGCCGCCGAAGGCTCTTCAGATGCTGCCTTGAGGATTCTGTCGGGCCCGAGAGTGGCAGAACATGATCCACCTCTGTCGAGACCCCCACAGGGAGCAACATGTCCCACACTGGTGCGGACAGCCCCCGCAGTTGTTCAATTCTTACTATTCGAAAGTCCTTTGATTTCTTGGAGGGGCCAAGACCCTTTCATTCGTAATTGTTCTGTCCTGGGCCTCTTCCTGGCCACTAGGGGGCCAGGAACAATTAGAAACGAGCACAATTTGAAATGAGCACGATTAAAAATGAACGATGTGTACACATACAGTCGGGGCGCTGAAGAAGGAACCCTTTTCGTTGGGGAGGGGCTCGGTGTTCCGTGATTGCTACACGGCGTGCCTCGGGTTTTCCTCATGGTTTTGATGGGAAATCGAAGTTTAACTTATGTAAAAAAGGGGCCTCGTTCCTTATTTAGGGTTCCTTAGGTGAACGCCCCGACTGTACAGATGTGTACATGTATAGCGGCTTCGGAGTCGACGAGCCCGGGTGAGTCAACAAGTCGACGGGGCTCCGTCGGCGGCGCGGTCTTCGTCGACGCCCTGGGGCAACACGCGACGGGCTGCTGCTGCCGCCCTCCGACGACCATCTGCATCTCCTCGGGTGCACGCGCCTCCTGGGACGAGGCACGGGCGCCACCTGCAGGCAGTACTTATATCCGTATCCAGAGCGTCGTGGACTTTTTGGGAAGAGGTGCCGCAACGCCGAGGCGTACTGGATATGGATAAAATCAAGCCTCTTGGGGCCAGATTTTTATCCATATCCAGTGCGTCTACGGTTTCTGGGGAAGACAGCCCAAGAATCCAAGACGCACTGGATGTGGATAGAACTATTGCCCGCACCACCCGGCTTGATTCCGATGCTCGGGCGGTCTGGCTGGACCGGACCAGATACGGTTGGACCAGGTCCCGCTCGGTGCCGGGCCCAGTCCGACCAGCTCTTGGCCGGGCCTGGAGGGCTGACCCGGTACCAGGCCGAGCTGGTCGGCACCAGGCGGGTCCCTTCATCGGACGTTCCGGTCGATCGTCTGGCCTGCCCTGGCCACGAGGAGTCGAACGGGACCAGGCCCTTCCTTTGCACCGTTCTCCTTTCTTCAGGAGGGAAAGAAACACACAGACACAGTCAATCGGCGATTCCAAGGAAAATGTAGGAACATTTCGGAAGTGGGTGGGAAGACGAAAACCCAGAAAATATATGGAAATATGGGGAACCCTGTTGTTTGTGTCAATTTATTCTCTTGCACAGGGTGTCTAGAGCTCCGACCACTTTATTTCGGCACCGCACCCCCCCCTCCCCTTCATCATCATCATCATCATCATCATCGTCATCATCATCATCATCATCATCATCATCATCATCATCATCATCATCACCATCATCCTCAGCATCATCACCATCATAATCACCATCATCATCATCATCATCATCATCATCACCATCATCATCATCATCATCATCATCATCATCATCATCATCATCATCATCATCATCCACAACATCATCATCATCATGCGCCCCCTCCGTCTCAGCGCCCCCGCGCGGCTCCAGCGCCCGCCCAGTGCCCCCTCCGCCCCGCTCCAGCGCCCGCCCAGTGCCCCCTCCGCCCCGACCACTTTATTTCGGCACCGCACCCCCCCCCGCTCCGCCCCTCCCCCGCGCCGTCTCAGCGCCCCCCCGCGGCTCCAGCGCCCGCCCAGTGCCTCCTCCGCCCCGACCACTTTATTTCGGCACCGCACCCCCCCCTCCCCGCTCCGCCCCCTCCCCCGCGCCGTCTCAGCGCCCCCGCGCGGCTCCAGCGCCCGCCCAGTGCCCCCTCCGCCACGACCACTTTATTTCGGCACCGCACCCCCCCTCCCCGCTCCGCCCCCTCCCCCGCGCCGTCTCAGCGCCCCCGCGCGGCTCCAGCGCCCGCCCAGTGCCCCCTCCGCCCCGACCACTTTATTTCGGCACCGCACCGCACCCCCCCCCCCGCTCCGCCCCCTCCCCCGCGCCGTCTCAGCGCCCCCGCGCGGCTCCAGCGCCCGCCCAGTGCCCCCTCCGCCCCGACCACTTTATTTCGGCACCGCACCCCCCCCCCGCTCCGCCCCCTCCCCCGCGCCGTCTCAGCGCCAGCGCCCCCTCTCCAGCGCCCGCCCAGTGCCCCCTCCGCCCCGACCACTTTATTTCGGCACCGCACCCCCCCCCCTCCGCCACCTCCCCCGCGCCGTCTCAGCGCCCCCCCGCGGCTCCAGCGCCCGCCCAGTGCCACCTCCGCCTCGACCACTTTATTTCGGCACCGCACCCCCCCCCCGCCCCGCCCCCTCCCCCGCGCCGTCTCAGCGCCCCCCCGCGGCTCCAGCGCCAGACCAGCGGCCCCCTCCGCCCCAACCACTTTATTTCGGCCACCGCCCCCCCCCCGCCTTCCAGCCCCATCCCCCGCGCCGTCTCAGCGTCCCCCCCCGCGGCTTCAGCGCTCCGCCCAGTGCCCCCTCCGACCCGGACCATTTTATTTCGGCACCGCCCCCCCCCCCCCCGC